CCGGTTGTGGAGCCTGAACTCTGGGCCTGGGCGCTGTCCCTCAGCTCTTCAGCTCAAGGCTAGCCTAGCTCTACCACTTGAGTCACAGCGCCACTTCCGGCTTTTTTCTTTTTGCTTATGTGGTGCTGAGGAATTGAACCCAGGCCCTCATGCATACAAGGCAAGCACTCTACCACTGAGCCACCTTCCCAGCCCAATAAAAGTATTTTGTTCTGCTACTTTTCTGAACATTTTCATTCAAAACACTGCATAAAATCTAATCTTAGCCAGGCACTGGTGGCTCACAACTTGTAATCCTAGCTACTCAGGAGGCTGAGATCTAAGGATCGCAGTTCAAAGCCAGGCTGGGCAGGAATGTCTGTGAGATTCTATTAACCACCAGAACACCAGAAGTAGCTCTTTGGCTCAAGCAGTACAATGTTTGCCTTGAGCTAAAGAGCTCAGAGACCACACCCAAGCCCAGAGTTCAAGCCCCACAACTCACAAAAAAAAACCCAAAACATTTAATTTTAACAGATGTGGTTAGTAACAATCAGAACTTTAATCTAAATTAATACTTACTTTCAAAAATGGGGATTCTTCTAACATATCAAGGAACTCTGGGAAATAATCACCAACTTCTTCATCGACTGCTCCAACAAGACTTATCTGCCGCATGGGGCCTGCTCGGTAAGTGCCACAGCAGTACGTCCTGTTGACCTGAGATACAGTGAAACAGAGAGGGGAGATAGGTCTGATTTTTCAGTCTAAAAAAATGAGAATAGAGTATTATTTCCAATATTGCTGCTACTTCTACATACTAAGAACTCAGTAGTCTGTACAGATCCCATAAACACACTATTACCACATGTTTCAACAGAAATCCCAACACCTCAAAGATAAAGATAAATTTCTGTAAGAATGATGAGTTTTGAATTTTGAAAATACCTAGTCATTGATCTGCAGGTAGTGGGGAAAAACAATAAACAGTAATGTGACAGGGCAGGGGGAAAGAGCATGGCCAAATTCATCTTCCATATTCATTGTGAATCTATTTCAGGTTAGATACCAGACTGAACATTACCAAATTCAATGCCCACATGCCATAAAAGGCATATATCTGATGGAAAGTAAATCAATGCACCAGAAAGTCTCCCGAATACCTGTTTCTTGAAGCACTGATCATGAGAGAAAATGATAGAATCAGCTGAAGTGTCCAGCAAGATGTGTGGTAAACATAAAACACAGACACACACTATAAATATTACACAGCCATTAAAAATAAAATCATGTTATTTACAGGAAAATTAATGGAACTAGAAGACATCATATTGAGCAAGGTAAGACAGGTTAAAAAAAAAACAACCACCCACCATTTATGCTTTCCTTCATATGTGAAAGCTAAACCTAAAAGCATACATAATCATGAACACAAGTATATACCTGTATACATAGACAGACAAGACACACACACACACACACACACACACACACACAGATAAGCACAGAGTATGAGTCTAAGGAACTACATAGGCTGGAAAGGGAAAAAGGAGTAAGATAAAGTAGATAGAAAATTCTGAGATACACTGCAGCTATACATGACAACAAAAAGAACCTCAATGAAAGCTGCTGATCAGGAAAAAGGGAGGTGGGGTACTAGTCAGAAGCCATGGGGCTAACCAGGGCAAAACCTGTTGAAATAGGTATAGGCACGCATGAAAATAGAAACCATGAAACCTTCTGGGGGGGAAAGGGAAAATAGGGTAATAAAAGGAAAGAGATTGGAATACATTGTACACATGTGTGAAAATGTTGTAATGAAATCCCTCTTTGAATAAGTAATGTATGTTAAAAAATGGGGACTCCAAGCCAGGTACCAGTGACTCATGCCTATAATCCTAGCGAGACTTGAGATCTGAGAATCGCAGTTCAAAGCCAGCCTGAGAAGGAAAGTCAGTGAGACTCTCATCTCCAAGAAACCACCAGAAAACCGGAAGTGGCACTGTGGCTCAAGTGATAGAGCACTAGCCTTGAGCTGAAGAGCTGAGGGACAGCTCCCAGGCCCAGAGTTCAAGCTCCACTACTGACAAAAAAAAGTGGGGGGACCCCAAGGCCTGTTACTTCACTTAAGACCCTTTCACTTCAGGCAAGTTGCTCTTCCTTTATCACTTATATGTATGCCCACGGATTTTTCTTGCTTATCTGCCCAATTTGGAATGTCCTCTTTTATTCCTCTACCACAAGCCTAACTTGTTTGTTTTTTTGGTTTGGTTGATACTGTTTTTCACAAAGGTTCTTGTGCTTTTTTTTTTTTTTAAGCCTGACTAGTTGGAATGTGATCCCCCTACTGAGTAGCTGAGATTACAGTCATGCACTATACCATACCCTGTCCAATTTCTGTTGGCTTTTCCTTCATTTTTGGTGCCAGTCCTGGATTCTGTCCCTGACTTTTTTGTTGTTGCTGGTGGTGGTCATGGGGCTTGAACTCAGGGCCTGGGCGCTGTCCCTAAGCTCTTTTGCTCAAGGCTAGTGTTCTACTACTTTGAATTACAGTTCTTCTTTTGGTTTTCTGGCAGTTCACTGGAGATAAGAGTCATTAATTTTCCTGCCCAGGCTGGCTTTGAACTGCCATCCTCAGATCTCAACCAGGTCCTGAAAAGCTAGGATGATAGGCATGAGACACCTGCACCTGACCCAACTTCTCTTCTAAGATATCACTAACTTTTTGTTTAGGCTGATCCTCCTATCTCCACCTCCAGAGTGGCTGGAATACAGCTGAGCCTCCACACACAGCTGGAATGTCCTTTAACCTGCCGCCCAAGTGTTAACCATCTTTCAAACATCAACATTTAATCTTGAAAGTCTTCCTAAATCACACTCTATCACCCTCCCCTTTATCTGAAATCTAAGCTTATCTGCAAGCACATAAACAACTTTTTCTGTAGAAGTTGAGAACCTCTTGGGGCAAGAATTATTTCAGATTTAGGTTTTTTTCCAGTTCTGGATTATTTGTAAATGTTTACAGACTAAGCATCCCTATTGCAAAAATCAAAATCTGAAATGTTTCGAAACATAAAATTCTTTGGTGTTGAAAAAAGGTTGTTCAACCTGGGTCAAGTTCTTTTAAGTACAAACTGCAGCCCAGAGCAACCTCCCTCGCACACAACTGGAATCTACCAACGGTCCACACCATTAGTTCTCTCCGTCATTGAAGACAGAAAAGCTTTGCCAAAAGGAAAACCGACAGAGAGCACCTGGCACAGACATGCCACGTTAGAGACAGTTTATCCTGTCTGCCCTTTATTGTTTCTCTACTCTTATCCTATCTCCAATTGAGAATATATTTTTCTACTAGGTAGAAAACCAGATCTTATGCATACAAACAGACTGGCTGTAATATTCCACTCAGGACTTGTACCTGGTTAGGGAGTTACCAGCATTTTCTATGTCAGCTAAGATACAGATTAAGCTGGGTGTGGTAGCACACTACCATAACATAGCACTCAAGGGACTAAAACTTGGGCTGGGAAGTTGGCTCAGTGGTAGAGTGCTTGCCTTGCATGCATGAGGCCCTGGGTTCGATTCCTCAGCACCACATAAGCAGAAAAAGCTGGAAGTGGCGCTGTGGCTCAAGTGCTAGAGCACTAGCCTTGACCTGAAGAACTGAGGGACAGTGCCCAGGCCCAGAGTTCAGGCTCCACAACCCGCAAAAAAAAAAAAAAAAAAAATTAAGCTAGCAAAGTCCATCTTGATCTATTATTCAAAAGAAGAGAGAAAATAAACCCTGCCACACTTGTCACATTCTAACAAGGGGAGGAACTTTTGTTCTACCAGTGGTCCAACTGTAGACCACTCAAAATGATTGGTATAAACGGACTACAGGAAGTGTACATGTTTCTACATGGCCTTGTACCACAGGACTCCGAGACCTGGATGTTATCCAGCCCTGTAAGTTACATTCTAAGAAATCCACACTGCCTGGGCCACTGTTTACACACTGTTATCCACTACAGTGTGTCTACGTATCCTTGAAGAGGCTTAACAAACTGAAGAGAAAGTAAAAGCAAGGTTCAATTGCAAAGCAAGTCAAGTCCACAAAACTGAATGTTTTATACAAGTTGTTTATAGAAGGCCAAGAAGAAGCGGCTAAGGATGTGGCTCAACAGGACAGCAAGCACTTGCCTGGTAAGTTTCAGAAGGACCTAAGTGGAATCCCCAAGTAACAATGGAGAGTGAGGAGAAGGAAGGCAGTAGAAATGGGGGAGGGAGCAGGGGAAGAATGACCAGAGGTATCAACTATTGTGCAAAGTTCACTTTTTACAGTGAATGAGACTTTAAAGACTATAGACACACAGGACCAAGAAATGCACTTAAAGGAATACAATGACAGGAATACTATACAGTGACAGGAGAATGAGTTAGCTAAAGGAACTTTGGTCACAGGAGCCACTGATCCCAGCAAGGTGGGAAGGTCACCTGGGCCAGGGAGCTTAAGACCAGCCTGGGAAGAATGAAAACAACCTCCAGTCTCTCAAGAAAATGAGAAAGAAGAACTGTCTAGCAATATACTAATTACCTCAGAGTCACATTTCACTAGAGAGCTGCATAAAAAAAAGTTAACAATACTAAGGCTACAAAGGCTGTTAATTCAGACAAGGAGCTATAAAACTACAATCCACATACCAAATCAAGGATCACCATGCAGTCCTACTGGTCCATTTCATTTATACTACAATGGTAGAATTAAGTAGTAAGTTCCCATGATGGAGACAGGGCAGTCCTCCAACGCTAATGTACTATCCAGTCCTCTGTAGGGGACATCTGCGGGCCCCAATCTAAGCCACCATTAGCACTAACATTTAAATTTAACTTTGTAAGAACAATCTGTATTAACCACTTCCATGGTTTTAATACTTAGTGCCTCTCTCATGAACATTTATTGAAATATTTACTGAATATATGCTGAGGCTAGATATAAGCAATCATTACACTCCAGCCAAAATATATATATAAAAAAACTGAGGAAGAGCTGTTAATAGTGTCTGTTACTTGCAATACATTTTTAAATATGCAAATCTTTGCAATATACTTAATGAGCAAAACAAGTTAGTCTATGAATAGCATTTATTAACATAAATTCAACATGTATCAACTGTGTGAATGGGTCAGCCAAATAAGCAAACTATTAATTATACATTGATAACTGTGTGTGCTGACTTATCCTAGCTACTCAGGAGGCTGAGGATCTAAGGATAGCAGTTCAAAAAGCCAGCCCAGGCATGAAAGTCTGTAAGATTCCTATCTCTAATTAACTATCAAAAGGCAGAAAGTGGAGCTGTTGCTGAAGTGGTAGAACATTAGCCTTGACAGACCCAGACCCAGAGCTTGAGCCACAGGACTGGCAGACAAAACAAATTAAGTAAAAATTACAGTGGTAACAACCAAAAGATGTTTCAGAGAAATTATAAGGGCAAAACCCATATTTGGCAACTGTGTACCAGTGGCTCAGACCTAGAACCCTATCTATTCAGAAGGCTAAGATCTGGGGATCTCCATTCAAAGCCAGCAAACAGAAAAGTCAGTGAGACTCTCATCTCCAAATAATCACCAAAAAGCTGGATGTGTAGCTGTGGCTCACCTGGTAGAGCACTGGCCTTGTGCAAAACAGCTCAAGGATGGTGCCCAGGCCCTCAGTTTAATCCCCAGTACTGGCACACAGT